ATTAAAAATTAAACAAGATCTTGTACTATTTTATTTATAAAAAGGAGGATAAAAAATAAAAGCGCGCGATGAAAAGAAATGAGGCAACTAAGGTAATCTACACTATAAAATGTAGTTGTATATAAAGAATATTTAGAGCAGACATTTTAATATTTATTTCACACAACTGTCTGGTATGGCCTCTGGTTCATTTTATATCAAATAAACAAGGCTTCTCTGTCACTTTTTATCTTATTGTATTGAAATATACTACTAAATTAGCTTTAGATTTTCATTTGGCAAAAGAAGCGGCGACTTCTAATGAACATTACGAGGAACTGAATGCACTTATGGTCAAGTAGACTAAAGCTTTGATGTAAATGTGTATTAACGTCGCGCCAATGCTTTTACAATGACATTCTGAATAATTCTGGAAAAGATTTGAGAATTAAATTTTTCCCAAAATATTTGTCCACTTGTAAGAAGATGATTGAGCTGAATAATCCACGTATTCGATTAATTGTTGCTCTTAACACGGCACCGTTCAGTTCAATTTCAGCAAATACATCTCGCAATCGATCGATCCGTTAGTCAAGATTTATATGCAGTTGTCATAAAATTAGTTACTTACTGAGAATTCTAAGATCATATATATAGATCGCTAACTCTAATGAATTTTAATCGATTTTTAAAATATTTTTTCAAGCTGGAGCTACTACTTTTTTATACTGACATTGTTTTCCGAGATCGCGCCATAATGTAATATTGTATTGGCAATGTATTCATAACATCTCATAAATGTTAGATAATTCATTCGCACGAATTTAAATATAAAATTGTGTTTAAAACCATTCAAAATAGTCTTGCGCGTACAAACTATTTTAAACTATTTTTGCGAAGGAGCTAATATGTAAGAGTCTGGAAAGCCAACTATTCCACTCGTTTTAAAAATAATATTAATCGTTTAAAACGTATGAAGAAGAAAATATTTCTATAATATAGACCAATTTAATTACATATACATATGTATGCATTAGATATTAAATTTATAAATGTTTGCCGAGGAATGGCCTCGATTATTTCACCGAAATTAGTAATGAGTAATTGGATCGTTTATAAAAAAAAAAAAAAAATTAAAGACAATTACTCGTTCTCCATTCCCCCGCACAAAAGCTGGCTACTTTTCTATTTTTCTATTTTTTCTTTTCTTCTTTTTCTTCTTCTTCCTTTCTTTTAAACAACGGATATGCATAGTTCTATTCTCTCTAATCATCGATATCCCGTTGTCTCCCGTTTCTTTACCATCAATGAAGTAATTGTCCTTCTTGTACAATCTCACCGTTCACAAGGCAAGAAAACGTTTGAGAAAATCGCCCAACGGCAGGTAAATTATACAAGTATTTCCGTCCAAATTGCATTATACCTCGTTCCTTTCCCAACCGAATGTTTAAATCTCATCGTTAATCGTGCAATTTTTTGTCAATATCGATACTTGGATAAAATTATTCAAACCCCCACCCCAGCCTACTCTACCATCCTGAGCGTGTGCGCGGGCGCGAGACATTAATATCGAATATGGAATATAGATTTGCACAAAAAGTCCAAGCAATTAGCGGTCCATTTTACCATACCGTGGCGTCGCCAAGCCAACCTTCCTCGGCCCCGGTAGACAAACTTTAGGCTACTACGCGCAACCCAACCGACTTACAACTATTACAAGACACGCAGCATTGGACGAGTTCCAAAAGCCACGTTGCTCTATAATCGTCTCAGAATAACCTCGAGGTGACCACCTCCAACGCATACGTCTCGTACGCCTCTATCTTCCCAGCTTTGTGGGGCCGAGGAGCTCTCGCGCAGTCCTATTGTCGCTCTTCCTCGTTTCGGATATCATCACTCTTATGCAACGCTCCCCGCCCTGAGAGCCGATGAACCGCGGCTACGAGCACTGTCGAGGAAACATGAGATCGGCTGTTCTGCCACGCACTGACTCGTTGGCGTAGTCTAGCCTGTTCCGACACTTACACGTTCGTTTTGTCATTTTGCGAGGAGCTCAGGGTGACAGGTGATTGGAGAGTCCTAGGTGAGGATGATGGTGTACGAGGTTGCGGACTCACGTCATCACGCTGGTGAAATTATTCTGTTGGGGATTTTGAATAGCCGTTGCGCGATCGCTAGTGTCATCGATAGTTAAGAGTAAGCCGATCTCTCTCTCTCTCTCTCTCTCTCTCTCTCTCTCTCTCTCTCTGTGCGAGGAGCCCGAATATCATCGCGTGCATCAAGACGGTAAATCGTCAACGAGATAAAGTGCAAATCGAAAAACGAAGACGAAGATAACGAACGAACGAGGCGAAGGAGCCGCGGACACCGAGGCTTTGCGCTAGCTGACGACGAGTAATTAAATGCACAAATTGAAAAATCGAGGAAGCTGTCCGAGATGCCGCTCGCCCCGACTATGTACTTCGACCGGCTGCCAAGTTCCTCGATCTCCTCGCTACACCCGAACAGCGCCAGTAGCAGCATCTATTCCGATGACTCGCCCTCGACGTCCTCCCTCGGGAGCTTCAGCAGTCGCCGGCCCCCGCTGCCTAGAGCGATCACCGGTAGCTTTCCACTCCGTCCGCTGTCCAAGGTCGCCGTTATACGGCCGAACGCGACCACGCTCTTGTCGAGGTCGCCCTCGCCGGTCAGCAGCATCTCCTCCGCAAGACTCACCTCCTCCTCCATCTCGACTGGCTCGCACGCGTCCAGGTTGCCTCTGAGCTTGCGCTCGCTACGCTGCTCCAGATCGCCGACACCGCGACGCGTCTTTCCCCAGCAGAGCGACAGCGATGATCAACTGGACATGGAGGAGCTGTCGAGCAAGGAACAGGCACCGGTCGTATTCGACGCCAGTCTGAATTTCGTCCTGGGCATCGACAAGCAGAAGGTCAGACAGTCATTCAAGCCGACGGCCTCGCACCAGGAGCCACAAACGGCCTCCTCCTACCTCTCGACCAAGATATCAAACTTCCTCCAGAGGACCGATCATATAATGGATGAGTGGAAGAGAATTGGCAGGGCTGGTAGGGAGGACGGTAACGTTGCGGCCGATAATCTTACAACGACGCAGAGAAGGAATCTTGCAAGGACGAAGAGCGCGACCAATATTATGATCAAAGGATACCAGTACTTTAGGAAATCGAGCAGCGTGTCGAAGAGCCCATCGAGGACGGTGTCGAACGTGTCCGACGACGACAAGACCCTCTCGCAGTGCGACGAAGAGGTAGTTGTCGTGGAGGAAGACACTCAACGGAGAATACGCCGTTTTTCTTTAATCACCCCTCCGCTTAGCCTCGCGCGACCTCTCCCTATATTTTCGCGACGGTTTCCTTCGCCCCACCTACCACCCAATCCACCACACCTTGTTTATCAAATTAATAAAGTAGCCCGTTATGTTGGAGCAGATCGTCGGACGAGATTGTTAAGGGGCGTGTTAAATAAACAATAAATAAAATGTTAAATAAAATAACCCTTTCCATTCGAATAAATACATTTAGTAGTGTGTGGCATTGGCTACGGGAGGGAGTTATCGTGCGTTTAAAAAGTACGTGCGAGACTAGCATACGACACACACACGCGCGCGTGTACGCACGCACGCACACAAAACAACATTTCATGTGTCCGTCTGGCTTATTTCGGAGACCGATGATTTTAATTTAACATGAAATTGACCTTTTACGATGCTTTAGGTATAGCGTACTCGTTTTTACGTTTCTTCTCTTTCTTTTCCCTTTCGTTTACGGCTACCACACGTTTGCCAAGTGGTCACAAAAATACTCCAATGCTTACGAAATGGCAATGTAGAGGTAATTTGATTGAAATTCCATGGTTATTATCGAGAGACTAATGGAGTGAGCTTATTATTGAATTGGAGGAGAATCATTGTGAAGGATTAATCAAAATTTCATGCATTTATTGATTATGGATTATTTATACGTTGGCTAATTAATGGGAGTAACGTTAGTTTTAGGTTGCAATTTTATAATCGAAGTGAAAAGTGGACAATAATTGTACTTTACTGAGAGACGTTACTTATCAGTCTCGAGACAAAGCTCTATTTTCTCGTTGGAATTATTCCGGAAGTTTTTTTTTTATATGATATAGAATTTATTTTTAGCGGTCGATGCAAAAAAAATACAAAGTAGTATTGGCCTACATTATAAAAATACAAACGACCGTTTCGCCTAAGATCGACATATTTTCGATATTTAATATGACATGATAATAAGCACGTCCCGCTTTATATATTATAAATATTGTTATAACTTATTATACATAAATAGCAATCACCTCGGTATCACATTGAGTTTTTTTCAAAGCACACTGCTATCGAAATGAACTTACACGCAGCGCGGTATTTACATTATTTAGTCGAACGTTAGGCATATAGAATAAACATAATCGCCAAGTATTAGTATTTTAACGCAAGAAATATTACGTTAGTAGTAGAAGTGATTTGCAACAAATTTTCAACGAAATTTACGAATGAACGTAGTGGAGAGAATATATATATATATATATATATATATATATATATATACAACTACCAACTCTTTTCCGACATTATATCGGTACATATTTGAACCAAAAATCGTCAATATTGGCTGGCCAATAACAATAGTTGACAGTAGCTATAATTTACAGTAGCCACGTGACGAGGAAACTTTAAGGACTCGCAGTGTAATTCTTTAACAAACCATTATTACGCCAGTATCGTTCGCGATGCTCCTTATCGCGATATGGTCGCCTTAGTACCTCCCGAAATCTCAGAATCGCGACTCGCGAGAAGCTCCGTCTTCGATTCTGCGTGCGTTTCATCACCCCCCTCCCCCCGCTCCTGAAACGATAATGACAAAAGCGATAAGATGGAGCGCAATCGCTCATCAAACGACACTAAATAGAGATGCGAAGGCGGCCTATTGCCTCGTAATAGGGTGGAATAGCAATTAAGCCTCAATAATTATGACTTTGGCTTACAGCTAAGCGAGATGACGGCGGACTTTGCGGAGGAGCACTCGACGTCGACACTCGCCGCGGAGCGCATCGATGCCGAGCAGTCGGAACGGCTTCGTCTGGAGCGCGAGCTCCAGGACGTAAGCGACACCAACAAGAGCCTCCAACAGCAGGCGGAGCGATTAGAGATGGAGCTTTTGTACGCGCGCGCAGCCGATCTCAACGGCATCGCCTCCGACGCCGAGGACGGCGAGGACGGCGGTGTTTACAAACAGAGATATCAACACGCAATGAGGGAGCTCGAGTTCACCAAGCGGAAGATGGCGCAACAACACGAGGACGACCTCGAGCAGCTCGTCGGCCTCAAAAAGCAGCTCGAGAAGAAGGTCAGTTATTCACTTTCCATAACCCGATGGCGTGTTATTACCTCCCCGCCCCATCCCCAAAAGTCACCCATCGTCTTCACGCCCTCCCCCAACCGTCCGTTACATCCGCGACTCCTGCACGATGATCCTAATGGGTCGCAAATCGTCCATCACCGCTTCCTTCGACGCCTTGGTAAAAATGCTTTAAAAATAAAAGCCTCGAGGAGCGTTATCCCGTCGAAATTGCTCGCACTTGTTCCTTTACCGCTTTTGATATTAATAAAACCAAATATCTTAATTGCACTTGGGGACGTCAGATCGAATGTACACACGAGCACAATCAATATAGATTATTCCGCGCTTCAATTATTTTATAACTTTATAATAGTAGAGATCGAGAAAGACGTAAGTATTATGCTCGTTTGCATTCTTCGCTTCTGCACCCCCCCCCCCTCTATACGATGAATTTTCTCATTTCTTTTTTCTTTTTTTGTTCAATTATTTGTTATGTTAATTATCGGTGTGTTGTACTATGCGTCTATTTATTTCATGCAACATCATCAACTATTTATCCATAAAATCGCGTGCGATCAATGTTCGTCCGTAATCAGATTAATCGTTAATTAATCGACGTCTTACGCGTCATATTATGCTAAAACGTTTCGGTAATAATAATGGATTCTTTAAACTTTTTCATTTTCTTTTTTTGTTTCTCGTTTCGTTTGATTTTATTAATAGACGCGAGTCGGAGATAGATAAGGTATCATTTCAATGGAGAGCCAGCGATGGAGAATAATTTTTATGCAAATCTCGCTAAGGAAAAGTTTTTGAAGCCTTGTGTTCACTCACTCTCTGTCTTTGTCTCTCTCTCTCTCTCTCTCTCTCTCTCTCTCTCTCTCTCTCTCTCTCTCTCTCTCGCCCGCTCGATGTTGGCGTTCATTTGTCCTAGCGAGTAGCCGTCGTGCAGTGGAAACGACCAGGCGGATATACGCCAATGGTACGAATAGGACGTCCGCATGTAAACAAAGAGTCCGCCCGGTAACGCTAATGACAAATGTCATGGAATCGATCGGATGTAATTGGCAAAATTATAATTTTCTGGGCACTACATTGTCGCTCAATTCGGTCTTTAACCGTCTGTACACAAACGTCCGATAATCTCGCACCGGCAATTAATCGACACTTTCCCGCGTCCCGCGAGAATAATCGCGCGATTACGCCCGTCGACGAACAGAGCCCGACGACTTGCTTAATTCAAGTGGCTCCCGCTATGGAAGCCCCGGCGCGTCCTCACATTTTGCCTTTCCTGGGTTTAACGCGGCCGCGCGCCCGTCACCGGACATTTAAATACTTAATAAATCAACGGCTCGTGCTTTTCATTCCCACAGTTGGCTGACGCTTACGAGGAGGTGGAGGAGCAACGGCAGGTTGTCGGCCAGTGGAAGCGCCGCGTGCAGAAGCTCAACGGAGAAATGCACGATCTGCGATTGCTCCTGGAGGAACAGACGGCGAGAAACAATCTGCTGGAGAAGAAGCAGCGGAAGTAAGTGCTCGGCGAGCCTTCTCCTACCCTCGATCACGAGATAGCCTCTGCTTCATTACCGATAGTCGTTCCGTCGAACTCTCCCGGCCAGCCCATCGCGTTAAAAACCCAATTTCATTTATCGCATCTTAATTTCACTTCTCATCGCTATCTATCGCTCCTCCTCCTCCTTCTCCTTCTCTTCCACCTCCACTTCTTCTCCATTCCTTCCATTCCTTTCATTTTCTCATTCTTGTTATTTTTAAAAAGCCTCCTCTCCCACCGCGGTTCTTATCCCTTTCGATAGCAATGACGTTTCACCATAATGCTGCAACTCCTTCTTCCTTTTCCGGTCTTTGATTATACCGTATTATCGGAGAAAGGCTTACCGCCAACTACGAGAGTAGCGGCTACCGACGCGGTGGAGGCGGAGGGAATAAAATTATGCCCGTTAATTAGCTCTGCCAGCGGACATTCATCGTCATCCACGATATCGATTCGCGTACCTCATCGATCAGCCTATCCTGATCCTCCTTGTAGCGAATTTCCATCGCCCCTTCACACGAGGTTCGAAACGTCCAAGGGCAACGAAACTGGGAATATAAACTTCGAGAGGCTTTGTTCGCTATCCCTCCCGCCCCCACTCACAACGTCAATCATTTTGCAGATTCGATTCGGAGACCCAGAATCTAATGGACGACTTACGACAAGAAAAGGCCCAGCGCGAGAGACTCGCTCGTGAAAAGGAAATAGCGATTGCCGAAAAGTTTACGATCGAGCAGAATTTAAGCGTAAGAATGACAAGTTAAATGCTTTATCGCAATGCTACTTTTTACTCACTAAGCATTTATACGTAATTAATAATGAAAATGAACGGATAACCTAACGTGTGTTCCCAGGATGCCAGACTGGAGATTGAGCTGAAGGAAGAGCGACTGCATAATATAAGCCAGGAGCTCGAGGAGCTGACGTTCGGCGGGAAAACGGAGGAGGAGGTAGCCCAGCTGAAGAAGGCCAAGCACGAGCTCGAGAAGAAGGCGAAGGACCAGGAAGAGGAACTCGATGATCTCGCCGGTCAGGTGCAGCTGCTCGAGCAGGCGAAGCTGCGCCTGGAGATGAGCATCGAGCAGCAGCGCAAAGAGATGCGCAAGGAGATGCAGCAGCGGGACGAGGAGCTCGAGGACGTGCGCGGCAGCGCCATGAAGAAGGTGAAGGCCCTCGAGGCGCAGCTGGAGAACGAGCACGAGGAGCGGACGATCGTACTGAGGGAGAAGCACGAGCTCGAGCGTCGACTGGTGGCCCTGGAGGATCAGGACCGAACCGACCGAGCCGCCGACGCCGAGACTACGCAAAGGTGCGTCACCGCTTCAACCGAGTCGACGAGCGTTCGAATAAATCCACGATGGTGGTGGGGGACGAGGCAACCGCAGCGACCTCGAGTATCTCCCGAGATCGAGAAAATTGTGTATTCGTTAACTTTCGGAATATCGCGAGGAATGATTGGAGAGGGGAGGGGGTCACGGGCGACGGTGTAACCATTTAAGTTAAATAACCTTGCTCAACTTTATTTACAGATATTTTGGTAGCTTTTTGGTAACTGCCTTATCGCCCCTCTACCCTATGCCCCCCCCCACCTATCGAGCTCTCGCGGAATTTTCACGAGTAGTATAATTTATTGGGTAACTTTGTGCAATTACCGTGCACGTGATGAGATGCATACAAAACCCATGGGCGGTAAAGTCTCGGATAAAAATAACTAAATAAGGCGCCGTCAAGGAGACGGAGGGCAGTTGTTGTTGGTGATGAGAGAAAGGGACGGCAAGATCGGAGGGCGGTATGTGGGAGCCGATTGTTAAAGAGAGCGCGTGTGCTTTCAGATTGAAGCGAGACTTGAAAAGAACTCGGGCGCTGCTGAGGGATGCGCAGACGATGCTCGAGCGCTCGAAGGGTGACTCAACCGGCAAGGCGGCCCTTCGTCACCTGAAGAACCAACTGGAGGACGCGGAGTGCGCTCGTGCGGTGACCGCCAAGGCCAAGCAGGCACTCGAGCAAGACCTGAGCGAGACGCAAGCCGCTCTGGAAGAAGCCTCGCGTCAGCGCTCCGAGGCCGAGGATCGTGCGAACGTTGCAAACCGAGAGCGTGCTGAGCTGTTGTCGCAGCTGGAGGAGAACGAAGAGGAATTGGCCGAGGTGAGAGGGCTTCGCTATTCGTCTTGGTCGCCGCGATTGATCATTCATCCATTATAATGATACACACACGCGCACACGCACACACACACACACACACACACACACATATATATATATATATATATATATATATATATTATTTTGTAATTGAGTAGGTAACAAACGGAGCACGTCTGTTTTTAGTAATCGTGAGTATTCGATTACAAAGACATTCGTTTTGTCAAGTATTATTTTTTTTCTTTACAACGAGATAGGCGATTAGTCATTACCCGTACCTTTGATTATTCAAAATCACTAACATCCACTAATTTACTCGAACTCTTACTTATTTGTGAGTAAATATACGTATAATAGATTATTCTTGTAGATATTGTCAGTTTATCAGGCGATAACAACAATTGTAATAAGTATACACGTTTATTCGTAAAATAATAAAAATTAACTTTAGTTGTTGCGTTATTAATAACACTTATGTATAACAAGAATTATTATGTCATTTACTTTTGAGGGACCATGAAGTTTCTGGTACAAAGATTACGTAGTTGCTTAAAAAGGCGCATTAGTATCCTTCTTCATCTGTATGTTCGCATGAGTATGCGTGCGTGTGCGTGTGTGTGCGTGTGCGCGCGTATACGTATGGGCTGTGCAGTATTCTAATCTTGTTCTTACATTTTCTTCTTTTTTTTTTTTCTAATAAATATTTCTTGCAAATTCTGAGTCAGAGATTCGGAGTCTATTATATTTATAAGCTCATACGAATAGCACAGTTTTATTGGACGATTATTTATAGCAAAGGTCAAAAAATGATTCTAAACAAATGAAATAAAAAGAAAAAATCTGTAACTAATTTTCAAAGCAATAAGAAATTTTTACGCTGACTTTTGAAATATTTTCACAATTTTATAGGTGATTAGATCGAGGCTTTAAAATTCAATGCTCACTTGATCACATTACGAATATTTTTATTCTAATTTAATTAGCTTTTGTACGATTCATTCTATTTTTTTATCCCACTCTCTCTCTTACTCTCTCTCTCTCTCTCTCTCTCTCTCTCTCTCTCTCTCTCTGTCTCTCTGTCTCGCGCACGTGTGTATAGGCTCACAGAAACGGTGAGAGAGAGAGAGAGAGAGAGAGAGAGAGAGAGAGAGACAGAGAGAGAGAGAGACAGAGCGTGTAACAAACTCCACGCTCGCTCGCTCGTTCGCTCTTTAAGCGGCTGTGTATATCGGGCGTGCGTATCGAAAATCTCGCGATGCAATTAAAATAGGCGCAGCATCGCCGTTTTCATGCATCGGTGCCCGTCGAGCGCGCACGCTAATTCGGTTGTCGGCTATTCCGATCCGACGAACTTTGCCTCCAAGCCCATTTACCGAATGCGTCATCCGACACGTGTCCCACAGGTGCTGAAGAAGTATCGCGTCGCCGTGCAGCAAGTCTCCGCCGAGCAGGCCCAGCTCCAAGAGGCCCAGGTCCAGATGGCGGCCCTCGAGGCCGAGAAATCGTCGCTAAAAGATCAGTTGTCGGAATTGAGCCAGCGTCTCGAGTCGGTGGAGCAGCTCGGCGATCCGACGGCCAACAGCCTCGCGACGAGGCGCCTCGAGTTCCGCACCAAAGAGCTCGAGAGCAAACTCGAGCTCGAGCAGACTACGAGGGCTCGACTTGAGGTAAATTGCTCGGACGGTGTGCCGTCCCATGGCTCTAAACGACCTTGACGCGTCGCTCTTCAATTAAAGGAGATAAAAGCCGGAACTGTTTTAAAGTAGCGCGTTAAAGTACCTCGGCCAATGGATTATAGAAGAGCGGCGCGCGTGCGCGCGCGTCCATTCGTAGGAACGGCAATTAAGCCTCGCAGGCTAACACGACGCCCCCGTCGATCTCTTCTTCTAGACGCAAATAGCGCGACTAAAGGAGAACGTAGAGAAGCTCCAATCGGAGACAGCCCTCCTGCGCACGAAGGAGCAGAGCGCCCAGGACGCGGCGCGCAGACTGCAGCGCACGCTGCGCGAGGTGCGCGAGGAGGCGACCTCGGCCTCGGCGAAGGAGCAGGAGGCGACGCGGGCACGTCGCGACCTGGAGAAGGCACTCGAGGCATCCGAGGCGGAGACTAAGGTCGTCAAGGACGATCTGCGACTGGCTCTGCAGAGGATCGACGACTTGCAAAGCGCCATTCAAGGAGAGCTTGACCTCGACTGCAGCGAGGAGGCTACCAGTGATAACAGCGACAGGTAGTTCTTTATCATTGTCTGCGATTCCATCTTATTTCAATGCTTTTCAATCGGAAATGATTGATTCATCGTCTGATGCCGATGCTATGGTAACTGTGGCTGGCCATTAATTCTTAATTTTAATAACAATACCATAGATCATCGAATTAAACAGTATATATATATATTTTTTTTTTTTTTTTTTTGTTTTTGTTTATCCTACCTCGTTCTATCGTTTAAATGCGCATAATTGCAATTAGTCGAGGATTTATATAAGTTATGATCGATTCCCAACTAAATTGGAGAGTATTTTGGACAGAAAAGCATTGAGATATTTGATCGTTCGTTTACAATAGTAGACTATTGGACTTTTTTTACAATAGTAGACTGGACTTTTTTTTACCTCCTGCCTCCCTTCCCCACCCATTAATTTTATTTATTGAAATGATTCTTTCGCAATTTATATAGTAACAACGCCGGCAATGATAGTAATACGTCAACGATAATCGTATGTTTTAGCGATTGATCCATGCCAATAACGGACTTCGGGTCCGATGATGAAAACGTCGAGGAACGAAATGGCTGAAACTCTGGAATTTGGAGAGAATATCCAACTCCGATGAATCGACTGAAAATCAAAGCATTACGCGCGGAAATGCGTAGAATTGCGACGTTCAAAATAAGTTTAGCCTTAATTTCACATTTCTTATGCGGGAGCGCGTACGCTTCTTTAAGTATAATAATCAACGAGATGAAGAAGGGGGGGGGGGCTACTAATATCCGATATGGTTTGTAATATCGCAGCCCCTTTAACGTTAAATGTTAGTTTTTCTATGAAAGCCACGAAAGCCTGTGTAACGGAAAAAGGTGAATTTTGTACTGCCGACGAAAGGAAGATGGATAATATTAAGAATTGGTGCTAGCGCTCTTGAATTTCGGGATACTAAGGCGTTTCGAGTTCAATCTTCCCAAAGTCTTCCAAGTCAAGGAATTCACATTTCGAGCGCGAAAGTGCAATCAGGTTCAACCTTCATAGTGCTACGGCAATATAATAAACTTTAACGATATTAAGGAGACACAGAATGCGATTTAATTCAAAGCAACATTACAATATCTTCTTTAATTCAAACTTTTAAAATAACAATAACTTTATTAAATGTCATTTTATTTCTTCGTCATCCTCTTCGTATCCTCGTCATTATATTCAGCAAAATCATCATAATCGCTACCTCCACCACAACCACCACCACCGCCATCACCACCAACACCATCAGCGTCAGCATCATCGTCATCTTCTTCCTTTTCTTCTTCTTTTATCGTTAAATAAGATTTATTGAAAAAGTTTTTGCCTTCAATTTGTAAAATATATATGAGCTCCATTTCAATTTTAAATGCCCTTTCTGAGTCGCCTTATTATAAGAACAAGAGTAACGAAGAGGAAAAAGCAATCGAGTAATGATTTAAGCGCATTGCAAGCTTAGATATTATTAATACAATATGGTTTCTTCAAAGCCAGACACGTTTACTACATGCGCGCGATCTAAGGCTGTCAAAGCTTGTCAATCGAGATCGTTTTAAATGTACGTGTTTATTTTATGTATAAAGGAATAATGAAGACTCTCTGTTAGTTGTTCTATCATCTTGTAAGGAAACCTATGTAACTTATTGCTTTGTAAAATGCAGAACTTATTTAATTAAATTGACATTTTCATCTTTTGCTGAAACCAATCTCTTACCGCTCGAAACCTTATTCCCATGCTAATCCTAAAATTACAGATATTCAACATAAGAATTATAATATATAAATAAGTTAAATGTAAAGTATTAAAATAAAACAAAACAAAAACAAACAAACAAACAAACAAACAAACAAAAAGCAACAAAAAGAAGAAAAAAACGAAAGCAATAATAATTTTGCCGTAATATTTTAACGTTATTACTAATCTGTTAATACGTGCGTTATTATTACGTGTGAGCGAATTACCAATAATAGTAGAACCGTATATATGTTGTTAGTTCCAAGTTTAATTAATCCAAGAATTAAGTTCTTCTGTTTGATTGAACAATTTCAATTTAATTTTTATGACGACTAAATAATAAAAAGAGTGCATATTACAGTGATAAATTATTTCTCAGAATTATAATATTTACTATCCTATTGTTGATTTGTTACGAAATGGTCGTGGCCTATTAAGCTATACTGATATATTAGAATTAAGATTCTTAGAATATTATACATTACACTTCTACGTTAATATTTTTTATTTTTATAATTTAAAGTAACATCCATTCGTTATAATAATTTGTAATATTTAGTTAAATATTTGACAACTACTAGTTTCATGCTGCTCTATAACATTGATCATAAATTATGATAAAAATTAAAATCTTAATATTATGCATTCATAATTTAAAAATTATATATTTATGGATGTATCATCATTCAGTAATATTTGATAATAATAATAATCACAATAATAACATGCACTTTAAATGAATTTTCGCTATGTGCTAGTTAAAAAATGGACGAAAATATTTTTCTACGAACCTTATTTACATAATAAATATTATGTTTTTAAGAACGGCAATTTATGGGACAAAGCAGTGGTATGGAAACCTGAAAATGTTATTACTGACACTGTAAAAAAATGTATTGCATCTTGAACATACGGTATAGTATTATTTTTACAGCTCTTCTCTTAATACAAATTCTAAAAATAAAAACGAACACCAAATATACAATTACAAGTTATTTTACATACTGTATTTCATGAAAATTCGTATCTTCTCAAAACTATTTTATAATTCATCAAGCAGATTCATAAAAATCGACAATTAGTTCATTTTATCATACAATACTTATAGTTGTATATGTAAATGTACACTTGTGCTATATTATGAAGTATTTGTACTGTGTTTCGTTATTTCAACACCAATGTTTCTTCATTGTAATAACTTTGCAGTACGTTTACAGAAAAGCGTATAAAAATACATTAACAAAGCCAGTTGAAGTGTCTTAATATATTTCCTTTATTTTGCGATACAATTATCAATCATCAAAATATATCGAGAAAGTATCCACTTACCCAGAAACGTAGATATTTAAGAAGAAATTAAACTGACCTCTAAATTATTATTTAAAAAATGTTTAAAATCACGAATTTTCTAAACACTTTAGTTTTGAACCAAAAAGAATCATTTTCTCACTTGTTATAACAAACCAACATCTATCTAAAAAAAATTCATTATTTATGGATTAAGCGCATAATTTCTTACGAATATAAGAGATTCTTTTTACGAAGATCGTATTTTTCATGCAATTATGTAAATATTTGATTATTAATGATGTCATTATTAACAATTTGAGAACTTCAAGGGTTGTAAACTTTTCTTAAAGGAATTCATCAGATTGTTTAATGATATAATAAGTAAGAATTACTTACGTAATATAGGCCTTGAACCGACAAGTGAATAGAGTTTATTTTTTTTATTCATACTGAATTACAAGCCTGTGTAGTTATAATTACTAAGATTTAATTTTGTTAAAAATCGATGAATCTTGATTTTAATATATACTTTTGAAAATTTCCCTTATCCATCCTATCATTTCGAAAAAAGACAACAAACAAAAAATAATTACACTGAGTTAAATGAGTATATAAATTTTTTATTTTAAATATTATAAACAACACAATTGGGGTTTTAATTAATTAAGTCTTTAAATACACATAATAAACATTATCCTAGTAATATCACGATATGTTAATAGCTATTATTGAAATGAAAGTAATGAAAGTTCCTGCTTGCAGAGGTTTTCGCGTAACTCGTATCAAAAACTTTTACAATGAATGAAAAAGACGCTAAAGTTGCTTCTTTTTTATTCTTAATAACATTGGCATCTATATACGTGAGTAAAGAAAACAAATTTGTGAAAAATACTACTGGACGTGTCAGAACGTGCAAACTGGAATTAGTGAGAGAGAAAGGAATCTCGTAGAGTGAAGAGGATAAAAAAGAAGTGGTAGGAGTGTGAAATCAAAAGTCGTTCTAACGAATGGAAATAGGAAAATCCTCTTGGGTGAAATAAAAACTTGCGGTGATTATTCGGAAATGATTAAAATTGCCTATCAAGCACTGATAGTAAATTCAATTTGGCATTTTTGACATTTTTTCAATTTTATTTTTTTAGAATATGTAAGCAATGAGTCTGTGATTCGATTAATTTCGTATATTTTTGACAATCGGTTAAGTTCATATCTCTACTTCGTTAAGTTCCGAGCATTTTAATACAAAAGTATTGATCATTTTTTAAACATGAGTACAAGTTAAAAACCACATTAAAACTACTATATTACTTACTAATTTTGAAAATAATTATAAAGAGAGATAGATATTTGCTATATTATTATGTAGCATGAAATAGCGAAAAAAGGAAAATATTGACATTTATTTAAAAAATTGATCAAACAAAGTACTATGATTCAAGCATGTTTATCAACGAATAAATCATTAAACTCCAAAAAAAACTTAAACTGAAATATTCCTGTATAAATATTTCTTTAAATTTAAATACAAATAAGTATAAAGTTTAAATGTAAATAAAATATATAGATACTAGTAAATGTTAAAATATATATCTACAGAAGCGTAATTTTACTATTATAAAATCAAAAAATTTGCAAAGCCAATATTAAATATGTATCGAACAATTAAAAAATTAATAAACAGTTAATTTAATGCAAATTAACAAATCCCTTAATAATGTATGCTATACAGCTAATGAGGAATAATATAATTTGTTTATTTTAACTTTATTACCAATAAATGCTCTTGAAAATTCTTTATAATTAAATAAAGTCGGTGAATAGCTTGCATTATAGTGGATTGCTCTATTTAATTATTTTTATCAATTAAATTACTAATAAATGCACGTCTCTGAATTTATAAATAAATGTAACGTTTCCGTCTCTTTAATTAATTTAATTCATAATAAAAGGTATATAATATAATTGAATCAAGTCTTCGGTAGCTCTAAATTACATTTGAATTTAAATAATGAATTAAGTTAATTTGAAGTAATATGAGATTAATTATATAATTAAAATATTTATAGGTATAATGATATGCCATTGAATAATATTAAATATATATTATGGAGTAAGAATAAAAGTCTGTAATTGAAATATTTTTTTCGATAGAATCATTACAGGATATTTCAAACTGAATATTCACGTACTTATTAGTTGGTGATAAGCAAATCTATCAAACTTATCAAAATCTTCATCTCTTGCGTGAAATTCTTTCTTGCAAATCATTGTCAAATTCGTGATTATGCTCCTCTGCTGTGTGACGTAATCGTAGTTAGATTTAATTTGGTCAATGTTGGTTGTACATATTATTTCTATTCTACATTATTGACTCGAATGATCAAATGTATTATCTAAGAATGACGAAAAAAATGAAAATTCAAAATAACATTCCAGTAGATTCTTTTCTGGAGGCAGCGCATGCATTATGATTTACTATCAAATATTATATAATAATTACCAAATGTCTAATGATATCTAATTCAAGGTCATTATTTTTTTTAATGTCTTATTAGTTCATGAAATTAAATGTGTCAAAATTGTAAAAATTTTAATTATTAATAAAATTATTTTTAATTTAACCGAAGAATGTAATGTTCAAATAAAGCTTAGAGAAATGGTTTTTTCACCGTCATTCCCATGTATTCGTAAGTGGCGGGCGCGAACACACACAAACACACACGCACACATACACAAAAGTTTCTTCTAAAAATTCTTTTCAGAATTGAATGATCTTGGTCCTTTCTCATTCGGCTAATTTACAATGGAATATATTAATCGTTAAATTAAATTGAGCTAGGATTCTTTAGGCAAATTTTAACGAGCAATGATAAACGAAGAAGCATTTATAATCAAAGTAAATATGATGCTGTCGGGTAATGTGAGTCTGTAATCAGAATTTCATTTAATGTATGTCATCGAAGCATTGTATGGTCGTATTGTCGGTTTGAATATATTCAATTGTCATCTATAATTTCTGTTATATTGAATTGAGAAAGAAGTTTTATGGGTTTTGTTGAAAGTGACACAAGATTACATGCTTTTGAATAAATTCAGAGGGAACAAAGACACAATCAATAGAGTAAATTTATTGTAAAATTATCATTAACAAGAAAAGTTTAATTAATAACTGTTTTTTTTTTATTTAATAATACCATTCGGCATGAAATGTAGCCAAAGTTTTATTATCCATCAATGTACTACTTAATTACATTTATTTAATTCAATGAAATTTCATTGTATGTATTGAAAAATGGTTATATAAATATATATTTTATCAAACTTGCTAAAGATATGGTTTCAATTATATGTAATTAATAGTTGATAGTTCACAGTAATGTAATAGTTCGCTAAATGTTTATAAAATATTAAGTATCTTATTTCCAACTATAATTTTCGTATTATTATCAGCAATAGCGGCGATAAGTATGAAAGCGATAATAGAAATAATCGTCTGTTATTCCAAATTGTAAAATCCTTTATCGTACATCTTTTTGCATGTCGTGCAAAAAGAAATTTGAAATTCGTCAAGAAAAATATTAATCCTTTAGTAATACTTAATGCTAACTTCACAGAACTTTTACTACTAACACATTTTTAATCAGTTTTGTATTCAACCATCAGCAAGTTCTGAGAAGATAAGGTTTCAGATACGCGTTATAGTCACGTGAAATTGCTATTCTATCTACATAGTACAAATGCTTTTATCTATTTTTTAATATTAAACTGTTTTTATTATTATTCTGTATATATATATATATATATATTTATTTATTTATATATACATATTTATATTTATATGTGTATGTGTATCTAGAGTTGGAAAAAGCGCTAAAGGAAGTGAGAGAGAGTTCAAAGTTGTAACAGTTTGTTACAATAGTTGTTATTTTTATTATTATTAAATAAAAGTTGTGAAACCTTACATCATTAATACGTGTTATGTACTTATATTTATATTGTATTATTTAATACCAAGATCAAATTATTTTTTACATTTCATATGTTTTATGCTTTATAAACTTTATATGTAAACTTTTTATGCTTTTTATGCTATTGATTGAAAACCCCAATTGGTTTACGATAACAAATAATCAATCGTACTACTATCGTTAATAAAATAATTCGTACGTTTATGCTGAGAAAAAATTTCAATGCAAATCTGTTAAATGAAAGGGGAAAAACAGCTTCGCCAAAACAGTAAAATATCAAAAACATATTCGTGTTACATTCGAAAGGAAAGAGTAGTGCGATTATAGCGATTCAGTCTTACGTATTTTTTTATTTGCCTTGTTCAGAACCACGCTCGTCGTCCCTTAAGTATCTTAAATATAAATAGATGAACGAGAAGAAAATTAGATAATCTGTGTATTAATAGCGATTCAAGATAATAACAATATGGATATTTCCAATCTCTTAACGAAATGAACTTGCTGCTCCAAAGCGACTCCAAATGCCTAAATTAAAAATCGCATAAGCGCTTGCTCGTCTCGTATTCGTGCGCACATTCGCAAATAGGAACCACAAATTGAGCGACAAATCCACGACATCGAATTATGCGGGGGCAAAGTGCGCGTGCGCGGCCATTGATAATTTACTACACGCAGTTATTTGCTGGTCAAGTGTCGTGAAGTTTTACTGGGTTAGCGGTAATAAGCGAGCGGCCGCTTAAATCTTTCTCCACCAAGCAAGTTCCAATGATTTTTGTGTAAGCGGCTCAATTCCAGATGCCCTCTTCAAGGAGTTACGATTCTATTTAAATTTGTAACCGTCCTATCGTTATAAAACTTATAGGAAGCGAATGAAAAGTAGCCGAAGCACTATAAAGGTATCTGCAAAGACATCTCTGACTGATATTAATGCGGGCGATGTAAATATATATGATATTCTTAAATATTCAAGATTATTTTAAAACTTGAAATACGATTCTTATCTATAATGCTTTATCTCCTTTCGTATGAATGAAAAAAAAAAACAAATAAAAAAAAAATAAAATATTATGTATTTCTTGTAACAGTAGATTTTTAGCGATAGTTTGCCTGGACTCAGCTTAAGAACTCGGGATTTTATGCTGCGACAATTTAATTTATAGTTTGATATATATACTCTTAAACTTTTTTAACAAAAATATGAAACGAACGAAGCTTCATTAGTTATGAATGCGCTCTTGCGACATAAAGAAAAGTTTTTTTTCTCTCATTTCGAAGTTCAATTATAGCCTTTTTTGCACTAAAATAAGCAGATTATCAACATAAAAATATAAATGAGATAATTATATATTCTCAAACCTATAAACGATATTAGCGACGGAAATCCAGTCTCCTCTTAAAATAAATTTCTTTGGCTCTTATGAACAGCTGAAACTTAATTTTTATCATACGCACTTTCTTAATAGCAGCTATGATAATAAACGAAATTAAATTAAATATGTAAATAGCCATTAGAAATCTTCTTTAGATAAAATGTCGAATAAAAATAAACGAAAGAACTTTATATTATTCCATGCTGAGATATCAAAAGTCATCTATCACTTAGTTATCATTTCAGCGCTTTTTCAAATATTTATTTCGGCTAAGTTAATTGATTAAATTATTACATTTATTTTTATTTTTTCTCCTAATCAAATTTTTACATTCGATATATATATATATATATGTGTGTGTGTGTGTGTCTGTGTGTGTGTGTGTGTGTGTGTGTGTGTTTGTGTGTATGTGTGTGTAACTCATTAATCCAATCTGTAGATAGTTTTTATCAAAGTACAAATTTCACATTCAATCATATTGCTTTTAATGTTTTCCTGCAAAATACTTTCTTAACATCAGAATTTTGCTCATTTTTCATCATCAAAGTACAATTTTCCATTTTCGTCGATAACTTGACAATGAAGGTCGAATAAAATTAATTTTTTTTTTACCGTAAAAACATAAAAGTAATTATATTTGAAAATTTTTTTTTTCGACAGAGTATCTATCGTATTAATTTATATATTGACAAATATAATTTATTAATTCCAATGTTTCATAATTCAATGTTTAACAATTAATTCAAATAAAAATTATATTTTTATTTACATTTTCATTTTTTACATTTTCATTTTTCATATTATTTATTTACCGTATAGATAACGTGAAAAATATTAAAGTAACATTTTTAAAATGTCGACAGAAAAATAAGTATTGCGCTTATTATATTGAGAAAGCATGCTGAGTAAAAGCAACTTTTTACAAAAAATATATTCAATGATAATTGAATGAAAAATATTCAAACGTAGTTTAAGATTTGTGTTTGATAACTTGCAAGGAAATTGTTCACTATCTGAAACTTGTGATTTACACATACGCGCGCGCGCACACACACACACAACACACACACACACACACACGCACACACACACGCACATATATATATATATATATATTATAATTGCTTTTGCATGTATTTTTACATTAAAGCTTAAAATTAATCGTAATTTTTATTTCAATTTATTAATAATTTGTTTAATATTTTAATTATCAAGCTCATTATAATAGAAAGCATGCCGTACTTTCATTATTTAAGGGTCGAATTAATATTCCGTTAATTAATATTCCCATCTAATTATACATTTGGTCGATATTTTCTATACGAATTACAAAGCCTATTTTATCCAGTGATTCACATCTTCTATATTGCGAATGCGCTGATAATTTGTAATGTGCATCATCACAAAGCAGATACTGTGAAGATTCGACTTTTTCCCGATAGCCTATCGACATTACTGTAATTTAGTTTGTAAATTTGCTCACACTGAGCTACCTTTCAAAACATAAACTCGTTTGGTTTCTTTTCTCTCCAATGCCAAACTTTTAAATAATGTTTTAAATTCTTCTTGTAATCTCGTTAAAGATCAAACTCGATAGTATGATACAATTTAGTCAATATTTTAAATTAATTTATTTCCATAACTCAACTATATAAATAATCAATATTTTAAAAGTCATATTTTAAATACGACTAGGGAAAGCCACTGATGCATAAATAATTAAAATGTGTCAGAACGCAGAGATACACAACTTTTCGCAATTAGAGATTTTAATTAATCTTCAATAAATATATATATATATATATATATATATATATATTATTATTTAAAAAAAAATAGAAGCTAATGTACTACTCTTTATAATATCATTTCAAGGCCTATTGTATTACTTGAATTTTCTTGATTATTGTTGGAATACATATTTCATCGCCTATAAAATGTTTTAATAATTCATAAAAGCCACACTGTATTGTTCAAAATATCTGATTCAATTTATTCGTTATATTAAATATCTAATTATGAAATTGATAGAGATGCATGAAAATAGTTATTTCATATGTAGGTACCTCAATTAGTATATTCATTCATAATAACGAATAAAATATTTAATTAGATATGAAGAATTATTCGATTGCGCTTCTGTGAAATTTTATATCGATTATACATTTTATGAAGATCTTATTAAATCTACTGATCTTTTCACTAAAATATTCTTTACGATTACTTTTAAATATGGAAATATGGAAAGGTCTCGAGTTACATCGAGGATAATTATGCTTTTTTTAGATTATAGAAAGGCATGTATTATAATGTTAAATAAATAATGCGAGTCTATGGCAGTCTAAAACACCATAGAAACCGAAATTGGAGGAAAAACTAAAAACTTTATTAACACGTAATTGTTGTAAAAATTAAATTTTATTAAATAGAATCGCCTTTACAAGAACGATTGAAGCCTTATAAGCACTCGATATATTTTCAATAAATGCTACATAATGTAAATTAATAAGTTTTATTAATATTTCATTGAAAAACTTGGTATTACTTGGTTTATATTGCGAATATTGCCAGTGATTTATATCTTGTATTGCCATATGTAAAATTATACCAACGAATGTTTATAAAATATTTTTCTCAATTCCTTAGTTTAGAATAGAATTTTGTGACAATTTTATAATCTATGATTACATCAAAATAATGTTTTATATTTTTAATCTTAATCAAATGTTAATAGTTTGAGCCACGATGTCTATATAGTAAATTGCATTCATCCTACATTTTCGCAAGAAATATCTTTATATATTTCTCCTGTCACATTATATGTAAAATAATAACTCAAAAATTATATAAATATATATAACGAATATTTTATAGAGTACATTGGTATTTAATAAATACGCAGATCGAGTCTTGAAATATAAATATAATAGTCTAGACAGTATAATTGCATAATACTAAATTAGGGAAAGGAGAGATAATCATTACTCGACACGGTTTAGATCTTAGAGCCCAGGAACAAGTTCTTCTCTGTCTAACATATACATCGTGGCTTTAGGATTAGCTTTTCGATTCCCAGTGTGTCTTCCAATTTAGGTTTTGCAAAATTAGGCTTACTCCTGTGTAGCGTTGATCCATCGTGTGAAAGGAAATGTCGTCGACTGTCCGACAAGATCTAACTCATGAATGGATTCAGTGTGCTAACGTGGATGGGGGAGACGGATGGCTTTTCGTGCATGTAAATCTCATTGAAAAAGTGCTTTTGCATATATAGTTTCCAAAATAGTTATTATTTATCTGGAATTTCTGGATTTGATCCTTTGATTTCCATGTGCCGCTGAGTGATGTCAATTGCATGAGAAAAACCTAAGAAATTGCAAAGACATTCATAAATAAAAAAGGTCGTTTACTTCCATATTACAAAGATTTTTTAACATGAAAATTATTTTATTAGACTAGATGGAAAAGATGTAAAGTTAACCGTAAAAATTAAAAATGACAAGTTCGGAGAATGTCGATTAATTTAATGAACGGAAAAGCTTACCATACATTAAGATTACAATAATAACGAATGAGCTAAAAATAAATAAGCAATGGTTTTAGAGAAGTATCCGAATGGATGTAAAATTCTATTAAAAATTAATTAAATGTAATTTAAAGGTAATTTAAATGAAAACAAAAAACAAAAAAACAAAAACAGAAAATAGTAATAACAAAATTTATAATATGAGGAAATATGTGAAGATTTATTTTAGCGAACGAAAATAGGAATGTCAAAAGGAATCAAAAATAGATGTTATTGTATTGTAACATAAATAAATAAATATTATGAAACTAAATATTTAAGTGAATACATTCAGATAAAGATAAAATAGACTAATACGTTAGTATTGTTGAGAGATGAGATAAATGAATGAAGTATTATTATAAGAATAAATTTGATTACGTTATAAATTTGTTCTGAATGGTTATTTTGATTTATTTTGAATTCTCAAAATCAAATTTTCAACATATCGTTTTAATGGAGTAAGAGCATTGTTGATTCTTTCTTATTATTGCTATATTATTCAAAAATTTTAGTAGTAATAATTTATTCAATTCGTTGGTTATTAACGAATGGACATATTTTCAAAAATCTTATATGTCAGATTCAAAATTTACCGAGTATATTTATAATTTATCGAGTAAATATAGAAGAAATATTTCATATGACAAGACATTCAAATTTTAAGTAATAACATGTCTACGTTATTGATTTATATATATATATATATATATAATTTACGTACTTCTTATCGATTAATAGTTATATTCCTGCGACAATAGTCGTATTCAGTAAACGTTATAAATTTCAATTTGTAATAGAGAATTACTTGACCCATTCGTAAAAGAAGTGTAACAATTGGAACAATGTAATAGCAAAAGTAAGAGTGAATTAATTCTGAATAGCATTTATTGAAAAATATTTAAAATTATTCTTTTGCTCGTCAATTTCATTGTAATGATCATTCGTTATGTTTTCAACTGGA